CCTGAAGTCAGGGGCGGTGGCTCCTCTGTACTCAGGACAGGCTGGCAGGCCTCAGAAGTCCCCAGAAAACTTTGGGTCTCCTTGTGACACCTCTGTAGCCAGCCAGGATCGAGGGAGCCCAGCCGCAGGCTCAGGGACTCCTGCAGCTGCTGGAGCCGGCCTGGCCTTAGCTGGGCCCTGGGGAGCTGGGGCAGCACCTCACTGACTTCTTCAGGAGACACGGGGTCAGCCCCTGCAGCTGGCAGCCCTGGGGAAGGCACCTTGGGTGGGGGTCTTTGCGGACGCCGGGGGATTCGGCGCAGAGCTGGCCCAGCCTGGAAAGAGGAGGACAGACAAGCAAGCAGGAGTTCAGGCCCTGGGCTGCCGAAGATCCTGCCACCTGCAGAGTCCCCGCCTAACCCCTCAGTGCGGCTGGAATGGAAAGGAAGCTGAGTGCAGAAACTGACTGTGACCTCCTTTCAGAAGCCGAGGCCTGGTAAGTGCGGGAGGGGCGTGTGCGCTGGTGCGAGCAGGCGCACCTGTGGGGGGGTGTCTGCTGGTCCAGCCCCTGGGCCGAGGGCAGTTCTGGACCCCGGGTGGACGTTTCCGTGGCTCTTGTCCTCACCTGCAGAGCGTCCTTCAGGTTTGCCTTGAGCCGCTTCCCATAGTCCGGCACAGACCCGCAAGGGCTCGGAGCGGCAGCAGCGGGGAGACCCGGGGTTACAGCCCGATTCAGGTGGGAGCCCCAGCAGCTGGGCTCGGGCACCTGCAGGAGGAGACAGTGGGGTCGGCAAGGCTGGTGTCGGGGACAGAGGTGTCTCCAGCCCCTCGCCCCAGTCCCTCCGTGACCGGGAGTGAGCCGGGCCGTCCACCCCTTCCCGCAAATTCTGTGCCCCACGGAGCTCCCGGAGTTCCCCGCCACACAGAAAGCTACTCCGGGAGGCTAGGGTACGGAGCCGCGGTACCTCCTCGGCCGCCTCCGGGAGCGCCTGCACGGGGACGCGGGGTCCAGCGCTGCTGGCCGGACGCAGGGTCTCCTTCAGGGCGCGGTACTCCCGGTAGAGCGCTGGGGGCGGGTCAGGGGTTAGAGGTCACACCACAAAAATAATAGGGGAGG